AAAGCATTCAGACTGGAAAGAAAGATATAAACTGTTTTTATACATTAATTACATTACTGTACATGAAAAACAGGGACTTATAAAAACTAATAAGTGAACTTTTAGCAAGGTTGAAGGAAACAAGGTCAATATACAAAAAGCACAATGTTCTTTTCTAGCAATAAACAATCAAAAATTTAAATTTTACAAAACATATCTTTCAGTCACATAAAAATATTAAATAGTTGGAGATGAGTGTAACAAAATATAAATAAAGCCCATATCCTAAAAGTGACCTAACACAGCTGAGAGGATTAAAGAAAAGCTATATACCTTGTGATATGCCATGTCCACTGATTGTAAGACTTGATATTGTTTTTTTTTTAAGTTTTTATTTTTAATCACCTGGTGCTCATTATGACAACTATACTCCTTAATCCCCAACACCTACCCCATCCCCTCACCTATCTCCCTTCTGGAAACCATCAGTTTTCCCTCTAAAGTTAAGAGTCTGTTTCTTGGCTTGTCTCTTTTTCCTCTTTGTTCATTTGTTTCTTAAATTCCACATATGAGTGAAATCATATGGTATTTGTCTTTGACTTATTTCACTTAGCATTACACTCTCTGGCTTCATCCATGTTGTTGCAAAAGGCAAGCTTTCATTCTATTTTATGGCTTAATAATATTCCACTGTATATATACCACCTCTTCTTCATCCATTCCTTAATTGATGGACATTTGGGCTGCTTCCATATCTTGACTATTGGAAATCATGCTGCTAAAAACATAGGGATGCATGTATCCTCTTGAATTAGTGTTTTCGTATGCTTTGGGTAAATACACAGTAGTGTGACTCCTGGATCATAGGGATCTATTTTTAACTTTCTGAAGAACCTCAATACTGTTTTCCACAGTGGCTGCACCAGTTTGAATTCCCACTAACAGTGTAACAGAGTTCCTTCTCCACATCCTTGTCAACACCTGCTATTTCTTGTGTTGTTAATTTTAGCTATTCTGACGGGTGTGAGTTGATACCTCACTGAAGTATGGATTTGCATTTCACTGATTATAAGTAATGATGAGCATCATTTATGTGTTATGTTAACCATCTGCATGTCTTCTTTGGAAAAATGTTCGTATCTCCTGTACATTTTTTAATTGGATTGTTTTTTTGGGTTAGTTATATCAGTTCTTCATGTATTTTGAATACTAACCTTTTATCAGATATGTCTTTGCAAATATTTTCTTTCATTTCATAGGTTGCCTTTTAGTTTCACTGACTGTTTCTTTTGCTGTCCAGAAGCTTTTATTTTGATGCAGTCCCAATAGTTTATTTTTGCTTTTGCTTCCCTTGCCTCTTTTTTTGCTTTAGCTCTTTGGGGTCTTTTGTGGTTCTATACAAATTTTAGGATTGTTTGTTCTAGTTCTGTGAAAAAATGCTGGTGGTATTTTGATAAGGATTCCTTTAAATATGTAGATTGCTTTGGGTAGTACAGACATTTTAATATTTGTTCTTCCAATCCATGAGCATGGACTATCTTTCCTTTTCTTTGTGTCATCTTTAACTTCTTTCATCAGTGGTTTACAGTTTGCAGGTACACGTCTTTCACCTCTTTGGTTAGATTTACTACAAGACAAATTATTATTTTTGGTGCAATGGGATTGTTTTCTTAATTTTTCTTTCTGCTGCTTCATTATGGAGTATAGAAATGCAAGGGATTTCTGTACATTGATTTTGTACCTGTGACTTTACCAAATCTATTTATCAGTTTTACCAGTGTTTTGGTGGAGTCTCTCATGTTTTCTATACAGAGTATCATGTCATCTGCAAATAGTGAAAATTTTACTTCTTCCTTACCGATTTAGATGCCTTTGATTTCTTTTTGTTGTCTGATTGCTGTGTCTAGGACCTCCAATACTATGTTGAATAAAAGCAGTGAGAGTGGACATCCTTGTCTTGTTCCTGACCTTAGGGGAAAGGCTCTCAGTTTTTCCCCATTAAAGGATGACATCAGCTGTGGGTTTTGTACATATGGGAAAGGCTCGATAATGTTAAGATAGCAAGTTTCCAAAGTGATATACAGATAAAAGGCAATCCCAATCAAAATCAGAGTATTTTTCTACAAATTGACAAACTACTGCTAAGATTGAGATGCAAATACAAAAAAAGTGAAACAGACAAAACAACTTTGAAAAATATTAGAAATCTTACATCAGACTTTAAAATTATCTAAAAAGCTATAGTGGTCAAGACTGTTTGGCATTGGTATAAAAACAAACCTAACGATCAACGGAATAGGATATAGAGTCCAGGAAACAGACTTACAAATCAATGGTCAAATTATTTTGGACAAAGGTTAACAGCTAATTCAGTAGATAAATGGCAGTCTTTTCACCAAATGATGACAGAACAACTTGGATATCCATGTGAAAAAGATGTCAGAAGAGGATCTCAAGCTTTATTTCATGCCATACATAGAGTCATAGGCTTAAACTCTAAAACTCTAGAAGAAACCATAAGAGAGAGCATCCTCACAACCTTAAGGCCAAGACTTCCTCAACGTGACACAAAAAGCACAAATACATATAGCCATCAAAACTAAAAACTTCAGCTCTTCAAAAGGCATTGTTAAGAAAAAAGACAAGCCATTGTTGGGGGATGGAATATTTGGAATAAGTGTATCTGTCAAAAGACATATTCAGAATATATAAAGAATTCTTGTAACTCAATAAAACAAAATATGAGCAAAAAATTGATTTTATAATGAAGATATATAAATGAACAATAAGCTAAAGAAGCTCAAAACCATTATATGAAATGCAAATTAATACTGCAATGAGTTACATCTACATAGCCACAATAATAGCTAAAATTTAAAAGAATGATAATACTAAGTGTTGGCAAGGTTGAGGAGAAATTGGAACACACATACATTGCCAGAGGGAAATTAAAATGATCAAGCACTTTAGAAAACAGTTTGGTTGTTTCTTATGAAGCATACACTTACCATATGACACAACAATTACACTTCTAGTTATCTATCCATGATAAATAAAAATCTATGTCCACACGGAGATACACATACATAGCAGCTTTAACTATACTAGCCAAAAACTGGAAACAATTCAAATCCCCAAGGGATAAACGGGTAACCAACTTGTGGTATATCCTTATAAAGGTCTATTGTATCACAATAAAAAGGAATAAATTACTGACACACACGACATGGATGAATCTCAAAAACACTGTTATATGAAAAGTCTTTTTTTTAATTTTATTTATGATAGTCACAGAGAGAGAGAGAGAGAGAGAGGCAGAGACACAGGCAGAGGGAGAAGCAGGCTCCATGCACCGGGAGCCCGACGTGGGATTCGATCCCGGGTCTCCAGGATCGTGCCCTGGGCCAAAGGCAGGCGCCAAACCACTGCGCCACCCAGGGATCCCCTGTTATATGAAAAGTCTTACACAAGAGCACATACTGTACAATTTCAGTTAGATGAAACTCTAGAAAAGACTATCCTAATCTATAAGGACAGATTACTGCTTATCTGAGGCAGAGCCTGGGGAGGAAATCTAATATATAAGGCAGCTCGGGTGGCTCAGTGTTTAGCACTGCCTTCAGCTCTCTCTCAATACCTCTCTCTGTGTGTCTCTAAGAAATAAATAAAATCTTTTCTAAAAAATCTTATATATTCTTGAAATGTATATGAATATATAAATCTTAGCACTCTTATTTATCTAGTCATATATATGTGTGTGTATACATACATATTTACATGTACATGTATATATATACATACACACACATACACACACACACAAGAAAAAGCTTATTTTTTATCAGGCCTCAAGGAGGAAGAATTCATATCACGATTTATTAATAGTCACTGGGAAGAATGATGACCACTTTCTATCTAGATCCCTTATTGTAGCTGAATAATCCTTTGGCTCAAAATGACAAGGGAATTCTTTGATAGAACAATTAAGCTACCAAAAAAGCAAAGAAAAGAAGGGAGGGAGGAAGGAAAATATTCCATAATAAAATATGAAAAGATACTCAGGAGGCAAATATTTTGAATACTGTTCATATAATCTTCAGTAGAATATGCTACAAAAAAAATAGTAATAAAAGTTGTGTCAAACCACCACTCTGACAATTTTCTGAAGACAAAAAACACAATAATTGCAAAGTATGTAGTACATGAAGCCTAACTGAGCCACAAGTTTTTTTTTAATATGAAAGTGGGTAAGTGGCTTCTTTATTTTTTTCACTGTCCTGATACTTGCTTTCACCATATCACATTTCAAATATTATAGTCTATGAACCAGCAAGCATTATTAAATTTGGGAAATGGCAGGACTAAATAGTATATAAAGGATATCCATTATTCAACTAGAAATTTTATCTTCTTTTCACAAAACTGATACTATTAGGATTCTAATTATTTTTCACTGTTATATTCTTCCCTCACTACAAAACAAAAATTATGTATTTTACCTACTAAAATTGTCTAATTTAGGGATGTCACAGAAACCCTACTTTTGTTAATTTAGTACTAAAATAATTTTATAATCTTACTGAGTCACACAATATATTCATATATTTTGGTAGAAATAACTATGACAATCCCAGGTATTACTTGGAAATTCTTTTATTATAACTTTATAAAGATATGCTATTTCTGTACCCTGTCATTTTGGTTTTAAATAACTGTATATAAGAGGATGTTGTTTTATATATAAAATCAATATTTGTATTAAGTATATGGATAGTTCACAGGCACACAGTACAAATTTCTACTGAGAGAAGTACATAATTATTACATTAGCTGGGATTTTTTTATTTCCATAACCTAGTGTAGATTTTTCAAATTTTCTATTGGTTGAGTCTATCACTTGATTATTTGAGGAATTTCATCACTCTTTATCACTACTTAAGAAATTATCTTGGTATTAAAAAAGGAATAGGAAAAATATATATACATATGGGTTACTATATGCAAAGAACAAAAGGTCCTACCTGTTTCAATCTCATGAAGAAAGTCTCTGTGAAAGTCTTTCTACTGAAATACCAAAATCGCTCATTTGCAGGATACACACGTACTACTGTTTCCAGGAGAAAGCGCACAGGCTCCACCACCTCTGTGACTACCATATCCACTGCCACAGTCATGTATACTCGTTTATCTGCAGTAGAAATTTTCCATATGTTATGCTGGCTTTATTAATATCTGATTATTCAGGAAAGCAAAGATTTCCCACTTATGAAAAAATTAAGGTTCTTTTCAATCAACTTACCTTCTATGTTTAATTTTACATGTTATATGGTCACTTTGATTAAGTAGGTAACCACATTTTTCAAGTATGTTTCTCAATACTCATGACTCTATCTAAATCAATTGTCAAAATCTCCTCTGACAGGGACACCTGGATGGCTCAATGGTTGGGCTCTGCTTTCAGCTCAGGTCATGATCCTGGAGTTCAGGGATCCGGTCCCACATAAGGCTGCCTGAGGGAAGCCTGCTTCTCCCTCTCCCTTTGCCTATGTCTCTTCCTCTCTCTCTCTCTCTCTCATGAATGAATAAATAAAATCTAAAAAAAAAAAAAAAAACTCTAACTACCTTACTTTTTCCTTCCCCAAATCAGGTCCTTAATATAAAAAGTAAGGCAAAATGTACAGAATGTCTTTTATACTACCCTTTCAAATTTCCCAGAAAACCTCTAGAAATTTACAAACATTTGCCCTTTCATCTTATAAAAAAAGCTTTAAGAAATTATTCACTTTGATGAGTTGCATGGAAAAGGACTGTCAAATTAGAAAAGATGTTTTTACTTTGTTAAACTATGTTAAGTTTACTTTACTATGTTAAGTTTGTACAGGAAAATGTTATTTAAATGAATATTTCAATGTTGTTTTATTTAAAAGAAGACCCTGGAGATCTGTCAGTATCCTCATTGTCCTCTCATTGTATGTTGAGGTAAATCACTAAGGCTCTGATAAAATAGTTCAGTACAGTTACATATCTTTATCAGAGTCCTGGCAAGTAGTTTTAGACAATAGTATAGTTTTATGAGGCAAAATTTCAGTTATTATTTAAAATGTTTAGTTGGCCACAGCCTTCCTTCTAGAATCTTCTAGGCTAGTGTCTTTTCACTATGATAGGTTGAAATTTGGGTTTTATTTTATTTATCCTGCTTAGGATTCATCAGGGTTTTCATTTTCTTTTCTTTTTTCTTTTCTTTCTTTCTTTCTTTTTTCTTTTCTTTCTTTTTTTTTTTTTTTAAGGTAGCTCCATGCCCAACATTGACTTTAAACATTCAACCCTGAGAATAAGAGTCCCATGCTCTACCAACTGGGCCAGCTGAGCACCCCTCACTGGACTTTTCAATCTGTGGTTTGGTTAATCCATATTGTCATTTCTTTGTTATTTTTGAAGTACTTTTTAAATGTATTTTGTCTAGCATTTTTAGTTCTTAAAGTTCAAATAATCAAGCTGATCACTAGAAGAAACCTTCAACAGTGTTTTTAAAAAACATTATACAACATTCTATTAATATCAATTTCAGGGATCCCTGGGTGGCGCAGCGGTTTAGCGCCTGACTTTGGCCCAGGGCGCGATCCTGGAGACCCGGGATAGAGTCCCACATCGGGCTCCCAGTGCATGGAGCCTGCTTCTCCCTCTGCCTGTGTCTCTGCCTCTCTCTGTGTGTGTGTGTGTGACTATCATAAATAAAAATTAAAAAAAATTTTTTTAAAAATAATAATATCAATTTCAACAAAAAAATTATCACATTCTTTTTTTTTCAGATTTTATTTATTTATTCATGGGAGACACACACACAGAGAGACAGAGAGAGAGAGGCAGAGACATAGGAAGAGGGAGAAGCAGGCTCCATGCAGGGAGCCCAACATGGGACTCGATCCCGGGTCTCCAGGATCACGCCCTGGGCTGAAGGCGGCACTAAACTGCTGAGCCAACTGGGCTGCCCAAATTATCACACTCTTATTAAATAAATACCATCTGCCAATTCAAGAGAAACAAGGATTCTATAGACACTGTACTTACCCTATCAGACCAAGGGGAATACTTAAAAGTGTAAGAAACAATAATACAACACATAAATAGAATACACTACTTGGTGGTATAGTGAAAAGATCCAAGACATTTCATCTCCAGAGCTTCAACTTCTATAAAAAATCAAACTGATTCATGAATCCTCTGTGTAATTTATAATCTTAAAGCTACCATTTGGAAATTTTAGAAATCAGGTGTTTTTTGTGGCATACGAAATAATTTTTTTAAAGATTTTATTTATTTACTCATGAGAGACACAGAGAGAGAGAGAGGCAGAGACATAGGCAGAGAGAGAAGCAGGCTCCATGTAGGGAGCCTGATGTGGGACTTGATTCCAGGACTCCAGGATCACACCCTGGGCCAAAGGGAGACACTCAACTACTGAGCTACCCAGACATCCCAAGGCATATGAAATAATTTTAATTTAAAATAACTTATCTTTTGGATACGAAATTTTAAGACTATTTTGAGACTTATTTGAGAAAGCATGCACATGCACGTGCACACAAGATGCGGAGTTGCCCTCTCTTTCTTCTCTCAAATAAATAAATAAAATCTTAAAAAATAGAAGACCAAATATGTATTTAAAAACAAAATTAAAATGAACTATGTGTTACATTAAAAACAGATAAAAACTGCTTTTATAACTTACTATTTGAAGTTCCTATATTTTAATCTTTCAAAATTATCAACTGGCTCATTTTTCTCATTTTCATGTTTACTTTCCGAATGATTGTAAGACAGAAGTTATAGGCTGGTCTTTATAAGCCTGTCTCCAGAATTTACAAACTGTGGGTATAAAAATTATTTATTCCTAAAATATGAAAGGTTATGTAATCATCATTATTTTTCTCTCTTTAGCCCTCATTGTGAAACAGCTTAACGTGTGATCAAACACGTGCAATTTATGGAGCTGGTAAATACTCTTGTTGAGGAAAGTTGAGAATAATTATCATTTAATGCTCTTCATTAATATATTTCCATATCAATATTCACTAATGCTCCTTTCCTTAATGATTTCCAAAAATCCACTGTGGGTATAAAGTAATATAAGATGAAAGATTAAGCCAATTGATCCATTATTTTCTCAATATAAATTATTGGTGGAATCACAGCAAATATTTAGTATAACATAACTTTAGCTATAACTCATGAAGTAAAAATTTAAATTTTAGTTTAAGGACAGATGGCAGAGGGGTAAAAAACACACACAATTGGCAGATATCTGGATAAAGTAGGAACAAAAATAAACAAAATGGGAGAATGACAAATGCACTAAACTCATAAGCTATGAGTTTAGTTTAAGTTCAGCACTAGATATGTCAAACAAAATGAAAAGGTAAACAACTAGGAAAAAAGTGTTTGCCACAATTGAAATCCTAAATATACATACTAAGATCCCAAAGATCAAAAGACTGGAATAAAAAATTTAAAAATGAAAAATATAAGTAATCTATAATAAGGAAAAAAGAGTTAGCATAGTTATCAAAGATACGCAAAATTCCAGAACTTGATTTCACCATTTCTTTCATACTCTCTTCCATTATTGTCCTAAAATAAAGTAACTCTTTAATAACATATGAAACACAAACCCCAAATACTTTCTATATAGTCTAATAAAACTAATTCACATGTCTTTGGGGAGGATTCTTTTGAATGGTGCAGGTTTTCCCCATTGATGCATAAAGTATTAAAAAAAAAAAAGAACTTCAAAATCTAAATAAGAACAACTTCATTTTAAATAAGCACCAGAATTTTTAAAAACACAACCAAACAACACTGACCATAATATAAAATTTAAAGCAAATAATAATGAACACTGTGAGAAAATTTACCTTTTGGGGTTTCTTCATTAAGTGCCAGAAATATTGGTGCATTGGGGTTCCACATGCCAGTAATAACATAAGCTCTCCCATCATAGCTCTTTCCCATGGATTCCTGTAAAAGTTCAGACAGAAATCACTGAGAATATACACACCAAGAAAATCACCATTTTAAATTATATCTTATTATAAGTAATCTAATTTATTAAATTTTGTATTTACAATCAAATGGGATTCATTTTTTGGTAAAATTTCTGTCACCCTACAAAAGCATTTCTTTCAATGTTAAATTCTCCTTGAGCTTTCCTCAGAGTTTCTATTTAGAGGCACATACCTCTTGGAAAAAAGGGGGTATACCTTTATATGCTGGCTCACAAAAACATAATATTGGTCTGAAGTTACATTTAGCTTTAACTTAGATTGCTTGTCAAAATTTCATATACCTACACCTACAAGGATATCCAATTTCTATTAAAGCTATGTATATATCTCACTGAAGATATTTTAATTAATAGTTACTCAAAGGAAAAGCAGTATTTTTCTTCCAATGTTCTAATTTATAATATATTTTTACAGTATTAATTTACTTTATCACAATGCCTCTCAAAGTTCATACTTTTATATATATCAGATAATGTACACTTTCTTACGATCAGTAATCAATGTTAAGAGACTAATAAAGGTTTGTAATCAACACCCAAGTTGATTAACTTCTCTCCCTTTCACTAGCTCCCTCTTTCCCTTCCATCCTTCTCCCCTTCTTCATCTCCTCCACTCTTTAAGACATCCATCAGCACACTCCTGACTCTCACTGAAGCAGCCAGCAGTTCTTATAGTGAAAGCAGGATCACATACAGCTGTGTGTATGTATGAGCATGGGGCGAGGGAAAGGGGGGGGTGTTAGAGGTGTTCCCACAGGAAAACAGCACACAGCATACAAGTATATGCATGCGCAGGAGTATTTACTATGGTACTTTACATTTTCTGTAGCCATTTCCTCATATTATAAAGAGAGAGTGCTGAAAGGAACAGATGAAACAAAAACTTTTTTACAGTTTTACCCCCACAGACATGCTTCTCTGAAACCTTATAAAATTATTTCAGTCATTTGGTTATTATAATGCAAATTTTCCTAGTATATTGGTGGGATTTAGCCAAATGAACTGTCGGCTTGAGTTTAGGAACCCTGCGTTCTAGAGATGAAGTATACTCAAGGCCATGTAAAGAAAACTCACTCAGCAACTTGAACACATGCATATATTCATTCATCTTCACTCTCTGTCTCCATCTCTCTCTCCCCACCCCTTTCTCTCTCTCTCTCCCTATGCCTTTCCTCTCTATTTTCTCATTTAATTCCCATTCAGAACAAGTATGGGCATCTGACCCCAGAAAAACCAATCAATTTCTGGAAAGAGCTTGAGCTGTGCTTGAATCTAAAAAGATGAACTAGTCCAATCAAAAAATTTCTTTCCATTGACAAATACCAAGGGAAGTAGGCAGTTAGCAGTAGAGCTGAAAGTTTTATTCAGAGATCAGGCCCTGACAAGCCACATATCAAATGAAGTGATAAGATAACAGAAATTATAAAGTAGGAAAGAATACATAAAGAAGAGCAGAGTATTAAGAAACTGCTAAGTGGTGAGAGAAATGGAGAAAACAACAACAACAACAAATTCATTAAAAATGATCGTGCAGGGGCAGCCCGGGTGGGTCAGTGGTTTAGCACCTCCTTCAGCCCAGGGCCTGATCCTGGAGACCTGGGTTCGAGTCTCACGTCCGGCTCCCTGCATGGAGCCTGCTTCTCCCTCTGCCTGTGTCTGCCTGCCTCTCTCTCTCTCTCTCTCTCTCTCTCTCTGTCCCTGGGTCTCTCATGAATAAATAAATAAAATCTTTAAAAAAAATTATCATGCAGTCCAAATACAAAAGCAGATACTGGGAGGCAGGGAAGGAGAGAAGAAAAAGGAGGAGAGAGAGAAGGGAATGGAAGGGGGGGGAGAGGAGGACAAGGTAGGAAAAGGTGAGAGAAAGAGAAAGTAAAGAAGCAGAGAAGGGGAAGAAGGTACAGAAAGAGAGGGAGGCAGAGCATCAGAGCCTGCCTGGGAGCTGGGGCAGCAGTAGAAAAAGAGCAAGAGCCCACCCTAAAAAGAGGCTCAAAGAAAAGGTAAGCCCATGGAGGGAGGTGAGACAGACTGAAATGTCTAGATAGCAGAGACCACTTTGCAGGTTTAGATACGATTTCATGAAGATCAACAAACTCTTCTGTGTCTAAGGTGTTCTAAACAGAACTTTGTTCCTTATTAACCAAAATAGCCTAACTCAACATAGTTTTGTCTTTGTAGTCCTCACAATTCACTACCACAGTAATCTATCTTATACATCAAAAGCCCTCAATAAAAGTTTCTCCTCATTAAATATGGCATTTTTGTTATTGAACTAGACATTTCCATCACACACTCTGACTTACTCCCAGCCTCTAATAAAGATACTTCTTGGGGTGCCTGGATGGCTCAGTCAGTTGAGTGTCTGACACTCAGTTTCAGCTCAGGTCATGATCTTGGGGTTGTGAAATCAAGCCCCGAGTCAGGCTCCACACCCAGAGGGGAGCTTGCCTGAGGATTTCTCTCCCTCTACTCCTCCCTCTGCTCACTCTAGCTTTTGCTCTCTCAATAAGTAAATAAATCTTTAAAAGAAAAAAAGATACTTCTTCAATTATCTGCTAAAAAGTTCTTCCTGACCCATCTCCCGCACCACAAGTAGGGCTAACAAAATCAGGAATGGCAGTGAAGGGACATCTGGACAACAAAAATCTCTACCCAAACTATGCCAGGGTGGAACCACTAAATGCCCTCCTCTTAGAAAAATAAACTAGGAAATACAGACAGAATATGGCAGTTTGCAATGGGAAAATAGGCAAAAAAGCCATAAGACAAAGGCCAGAGAATCACATAGTAAGCCACAGATGAACTACTATCAAGTCATGAGCAAGCATAAGCTATAAAGTCAAGTAGGCAGATGGTAGGGTGAAGCAAACACATGGTACTGAAAAGACATAACATACACAGAAAAGTAAAAAATATAAGTTCATGCTAACCCACCCATTCATTAAGCAAATAGGAGCCTATTATAAGCCATGGTGTATGCCTACAAGTATCCAGCAAGGAAAACAAAACAAAATGATCCTGACCCTCGAGAGGTGACAGGCTAATGCTTTCCAATCAGCAGTCTGTGACCCATTTGTGGATCATAAAATCAATTTAGTGGATTACAGTCAGACTTGTTAATCAAGTAGAAGAAAAAATAGCAGAGTTCCTCACTCATGTAAGGGATAAGAACTGTTTCATGAAAATTTTATTTCTGCCTTTTTACGCATCCAGATTACAAGCTTACTGGATTATAATGTAAATGTATTGGTAATTGTGAGTCCAGCTACTAGTCTAGTGTCAATAAATGGTTAATTGTAAAGATCTACAAACTTTCTGAGGCACTTCTAGGACTTTTAAAATGTATTCCAGTTCCAAGAAACCTGGCTCTACTTAGTTTTCAGCTCTTCTTGGTACCTTGCTATTAGACTCTTCCTAGGTACTATAGGGGAGCAAAATTTGCCACCAAAAATATATCTCTTAGGCATGTGGGTTATTTTCAGGCTGATTACTTTTAAAAAAACAAAAGGTCAGAAAAAAACCTTTGACCTCCCCCTTATAGTCGCCATAGATAACTACAGTATAAAATAAAGTAGGTGACATAGGGAGGAAATTAGCAGAATCTGTTTCTTTAAATTCCTATATCCCATTGTTTCTGAGTGGTCTAGCAAACATTGTTTTTCATCTTCCTATGAATTGTCTTCCTTCCCCTTGAAGTCTCCAACTTCTACCCCTTCTGGGGTGGGTGGGTAGCTCAAAATGGCAAATAAGCCTCATTGTTTGACTGTCTGTAAGCCTCATATTCTTATGGAGCCCCCATACATATGTAATTAAATTGTTTTCTTCTACTAATCAGTCTCTTGTCAATTTAATTCTTAGACCAGACAAAAGAACCTTGAAAGGCAGGAAAATTTTTCCTCACCAAAAGCATCAATAGCTGTGGATCAAAAATTCTCATTTCCTTACTCCTACAGTACAAGCCATCTTCACCAAAAATATTCTCGCTACTGGAAGAAAACTGAGTCTCTGTTATTTGTATCCCCCTAAAAAACAATTTTATTTATAATTTGTTTAAATACTATATATAAAATATAAGTAATCTACCTGCCTAAAAAATTTTTTTGACTTATAAATATGACTTTCTCTCTCACGTAGATCTTATATTAAGTTTATAAATTTATAAAAAGTTTCAATTCATGTAGCATATTAGAAAATATTCAAAGGGAAGAAAAGTCAGCATCACTTTAAAATTATCCAAGATAAATAGAAGTCTCACAATTCTGAAATTAAGTATAATTGTAGGGTTTTCAGTTTGTCAGAATAAAGTCTAAGAAAGTGAAATTTGTTTTAAAAGTGTTCATGTATTCAAATGAGTCAGAAGAACATAACATCTTGCTCTAGAGGGCAGAACTAAGGTTAATTAGGCAGTAATAACAAATATGATTTTTGATGATTACAAAAAAATAACCTTGTAATAACCAGAATATATTCCTAAATCACAAAGTAAATATATTCATTAAGTGCAACACAGAAGGTATTTCTGTTTAAAAGATAGTCAGCTATTTTTACATCAAATATCAACTCTCAAATATATACCAACCTTCAAGAAAATTCCTTAAATAATTACCACTCCTACAGTAAATATACTTTGAAGGATAGGTAATAAACGAGGATAAATTCACAAAGGGAAATGCTTTCAAAAAAACAAAAGCATTCATCACAGTACTCAAATTAATAACAGTGCATTAAAATAAATGAAAGGCACCATAGTCACTCTGGATATGCCTGTTATAATCATGTACTTGTTATTTTTAGCTCAAAGAAAAGGTATCTTTCTAAGAACCCAAACAGATGAATGGATGGACATTGTCGTAACAGTATCCTTTTATTTGCTTACAGTTTGTTTATGACATTTTGGTGGAAAGTTTCCTAAATCTCTCTTATAAGTAATTTTGAGTTTCCAAAATTATTACTACCATACAGTTGAAAGTTAGAAACTCTGACAATATTACAAAACTTTAAAATAGAAAATACTTCTAAAATATAAATTAACTATCATCTATACTTGGTTAATGTGTTTAAGATTATCATTACCATATCCAGTAAATGCATGTCACTGTTCTTCACGTTTCGACCTGGGCTTAATAACATTCCAAAACATCTGAAAATATTGGGGGGGGAAAAAAAGGACAAATAAGGTATCAAGAATATATAGAAGCCCAGTGAGCAAAAAGCCTTTTTATAATAACTATACAGTCTGAGCTCTGTACTTACAAATAGCTTTAGTTTTTTAAAAGAAACACCATTAAGAAAATTCATTAAGATACATAATAAAATCACATAGAAAAAGTTATCTAAATTCCCAGATCTTTATTTCTGCATGTAAGAAATTACCAGTGATCAGAGACTATAATAAAAATGGCCACAAGTTATTGACTGAAACAAAATACAGTAGTGAGACATGAACTGGTTTCTAGTAGAAATGAGACTTTATTTGCCTTGGAGTTATTTCAAACATAGAAGTCAAAATCAACTACCCCAATTAAATAAAAAAAGATTTTTAAAAGACTGTGCTCAATCTGTATCAAGTCAAATTAACAGAAAGAATTACCCTGGTCTTCAATAGTCATTTTCACTGAGTAGCCTGCTAATATTTATTATACCTTAAGTTTGAAAAAACGTTTTATGAAACTCGTTACTAAATGTGCCGTTATACTAGTGAAGATATTATCCAACATAGAATATACAATTAACTATTTACTTTTTCTGTGTTTCCTGATTCTAGAGAAGCTTTAGGAATCCCATCAATACTACTACTACTTTATTTGTCAAGGATTTTTACAAGCTATAAAAGTCAGCTAAATCCAACATTTTTATATTTGTTAGGTTATCATTAATTCTGCTTTTTAGTAAGAAAGTAGAGTCCAGAGAAATTCAACAATTTATTCTAATCCTTTTGTCTATTAAATAGATCTTATAACTCTAGAAGCAATGTGATCTGCCTTCAGTATCCCTCTGAGAAAAACGCACATTCACACTTACTAGTGTTTTTATTGTAGTTTTCCAACATATAAAATATGCTACAGAACATTTCACTCAGGAGTAGAGAATGTAAATAAATTAAATATGTTAAGATTTTCTAAATTTCAAAATACCAGCACCTAACATGTCATTACTCAATCTGATCCTTGTTATTTTCCAAAAGTTCACTTTTCTAGTAGCACATCTTGTTCTTCTGTGAATAAATTAAGTTCTATCCCAATATGAGTCTAGTAAGTGATAAAACAATACATGCTTCCTGTTAGTACTTGAGGATACCTTGCTCAAGGCTCTTTTTTGGCATCCAAAAACAATCAAGTACATGACAAAGATAAAGTCACTGAGCTCTGAAGCTAACTTTCCAAACCCATCACTGTACTACCTAACAAAATGTAATGTACTATGAAGGAAATAATTCCCTAATATCCACAATTTTAGTATAATTACACTGCTATAATCTCCCTATGAACTCCTGTAATAAACACTACAAATTAAATGTTAATTAAGCAACTTACTGTACTATTTCTTTTACCACTGCCTTAAATACTTGCTAGGCAAGGATAAAGAAGTGAATTCTTTTTTCAGATATGAAATTTGGTGTCCCCCCCCCCCAACTAAAAAGGTAATAAGGACAGAAGACATCTCTCACATTCCCTATATGCTTTGTTTTGGTTTGTATCTCTCATGTTTTTTTTTAAACAATTTTCTATATTATATAGAGAGCTTTTAAGTTACAAAACTATTATGTATTCACTTTAAAAGTTAACGGATACCAAAATGTATAAAGAAAACATAATTTACCCTTCTTCTAACATCAGCCCCCTTAGGAATCAATGTTAACCAATGTTAACAATTTAGTATGCAACCTCCCTACATTTCTTTTTGCTCTTTTTGAAAACAAAGTTTTTTTATCATTTTGTTTGCCAATCATTTGCAGGTGAATGATAAAATTGATACAATTTTATATTTTCCTAATATTCCCATGTTAAACTCTACTGCAAAAAAGAACCTTTAGAGGTTTAGGTTTTCCTTAAATGGCAACGCTCTCACTTATTTTGATGATCTTTGATATGCTGCTCTTTTCCTGGATTATAAATAAAATATCCTGCCACTGGGGCACCTGGGTGGCTCAGTCAGTTAAGTGTCCAGCTCTTGATTTCAGCTCAGGTCATAATCTCAAGATTGTAAGCCAAGTCAGGCTACATGCTCAGTGCAGCGTCTGCTTGTCCCTCTCCCTCCCCATCTTCCTCCACCCGCCCCCCCCAGCCCTTTTTCTCTTTCTCTCTAAAATAAATAAAATAAAAACTTTTTTTTTAAATCCTGACACCAACCAGTAGTATGACCTTAGAGAAAGCACCCAACCCCTTGAGCTTCTGCTTCCTCTTCTAGAAAACAGGAAAGGTATAATACCCAAACTCTAAGGAGTTCTTCCAACACGAAAGTTGCAGTTTTTTCTATCAAGCTGTATTAGTCATTTTCAAAATTATATTTCATTAAAGCACATCAGGTTTCCCTACAGACAAGCAAGGTTTATTTGGAATAATGTGTCAGTAATTAGATATTATTAGTATCACGAACACCTAAAGCGAATATTAAGTATTTCATTGGGGAGGTCAAAGCATTCAACCTTTTCTTGTTAACTCTATAAATAATGTAGAAAACTGCCATCACATCTGTTTTCTCAAGCAGCTCACAGTCTATAGGAGGAGAAAAATACAAGTAAACAGGGAATTACAACCTGATATGGTAAGTTCTACGATCACTGTACAAACAGAATGTTAATAAAGCAGAAAAGAGACATAACCGATATTATTTATAATATAGTACATAGCTGACCTAAAATTTGAAATCAATCTCCTGAGAATGAGATATATTATTATTACATTAATTACGGTATATACTGTTTATTAAATACCTTAAGTCAGACATTACTACATTGCTGCATTTACATTTCAAAACAACCTGCGTATGCAAAATGCAACTAGTTTTCATTATGGTAGAAGTGATTTGTCCCAAATAACACAGCTATAAATTGTATGAAAAAAAGCAAGCTCTATTCAATCTTGTTTCTGAAGAAATAAAGCACTTTTATGTTTCTGAGTGATTTATTTATTTATTAGATTTTATTTATTTATTCATGAGAGAGAATGAGAGAGGCAGAGACACAGGCAAAGGGAGAAGCAGGCTCCCTGCAGGGAGCCTGGTGCCAGGACTCAGGATCATGCCTGAGGCAAAGGCAGCCGCTCAACCACTGAGTCACCCAGACATCCCCTGAATGCTTTAAATTACAAAGTACTAAATAAATAATAGTTTACTTTTTTCCCATCCATTTCCTTGTATACTTACAACTGACAGCAAAGAATTTTTAAAGTTTTGACAAAAATAAAGGTTGCAGAACAATTAAAAATTTCCCCATTGATCCTAACATCGCTTTGCTCAGTTTCTCTTGTGTGGTTAATTGTAATGGTTCTCCATACTGCGCATAGTGAGGAATGCCTGTGTATCTGTCTTGATCCCTTTAGTGAGTGAAAAACCCAACATTTCTCACCTGGGGAACTTTTCCAACTATCTTTTAACTTCTTCAGTATGAGATTGAGTGGGATTCCAATTTTTATAAAATTCATCTTTTAGTCTGAAAAAGTATGATTGACATAGCTTTTTTTGGTATTTCTGTTTACCTCCTCTGACATACTGTCACTTTTGCATTTTTAACAACAAAAATTCAGTTAGGAGACAGTGTTCCTTAACTGACTTTGGCAGGTGCTTGCCCCCTTTCGTTTTCCTTTCTTCCTTTTTATCCATAGTCTTCATGGAGGTAGATAGGATTCTGATCATTTGATGGATGGAAAGCAAAATCAAAACATTTAAGTTGACTGTTACAGAACATTAATGTGGTTTTCTCACTCTTCCATCACTTAAGTCTGAAGCAATGCTAGATTTGCTAAGTTCTGGTGTTGTGTGGATGCTAACTTGGTGTTAAAAACTGTTTCAAGTTCTTTTTTTTTTTTAATTTTTATTTATTTATGATAGTCACAGAGAGAGAGAGAGAGACAGAGAGGCAGAGACACAGGCAGAGGGAGAAGCAGGCTCCATGCACCGGTAGCCCGACGTGGGATTCGATCCCGGGTCTCCAGGATCGCACCCTGGGCCAAAGGCAGGCGCCAAACCGCTGCGCCACCCAGGGATCCCCCCCCCCCTTTTTTTTAATTTTTATTTATGTTTCAAGTTCTATTTTGGGTAAAAACTCAGAGGTATTATGGAAGGTTAAACTTTCTCTTCTTAATAATAGTGGCAATTGTCAGAGCTCCTGGGCAGCTTAGTTGGTTAAACATCTGCCTTTGCCTTAGGTCATGATCCCAGAAGCCCTGTGTGGAGCTCCCTGCTCAGCTGGGAGCCTGCTTCTCCTTCTCCCTCTGTGCTCTTTCTCTCTCTAAAATAAATAAAATCTTATAAAAATAATAGTGGCAATTGTAATAATTTATAATTGGGAACTACTTTCTAGTTTACAGTGTACTTTCACCCTGTGGGTTTTCATTTCAGCTTACATGAACATAGTGAACTTGTAAGCAGATAGCATTTGTATTTCAGAAATGTAGAAAGTGAGATATTGCAGTATAACTTGCCCTAGATCATATGGAGAATTCGTAATCTTTCCTGATAGGCTACGGAGGTGACAGAGTAAAATGTGTAAAAGACCTGCAGTTTTGGATCATGGACATGGGCTTGAATCCCAGTCTTTTAACTTAAGATTTGTATGGAATCAGAAAAGACCCTGAATAGCCAGAGGAATATTGAAAAAGAAAACCAATGCTGGGGACCTCACAATGCCAGATTTCAATCTGTATTACAAAGCTGTGATTGTCGAGACAGTATGGTACTGGCACAAAAAGAGACCTGACAGATAAATGGAACAGAATAGAGAACCCAGAAATGGACACTCAACTCCATGGTCAACTAATATTGGAAACAACAAAGCAGGAAAGACTATCTATCCATTGGAAAAAGGACAGTCTCTTCAATAAATGGTGCTGGGAAAATGGGACAGCCACGTACAGAAGAATGAAACTAGACCACTGTCTTACACCAGACACAAAGATAAACTCAAAATGAATGAAAGATCTA